TTTTTAGCGGTTATGTTTTTATTTCAAATGTTTTGTTTTTTTATTTGCTGCACCGACTGAATGTCACTCTAAAATTTGGTTGTATGTGTTACAATGACAATAAAGGATTATCTCGTATCCAATCAACAGTGAACTGAAAACACCCAGCAAAACACTGTGACTGAATGATACACATAACTCACATCAATCGCTCAATCAATGACACTTAACTCATGAGGTTTTTACCCATTTATCCAATTATGTATTGCATAATGATCAGCTTTAGCGGGAGAAAAACAGAAAGGCAGCAACTAAATACTGTTTTTCTGATAATCTGTTCATTATTTCTTTGATTGTTAAGTCTGTTAAATTTCAAATCAGATTTCCATAATTAAATAAAGATCATCACAATAAATGGACAGAACAGAGAACAAAGCCAACAGATATGACAACATAGACGATTAAAACAGATACCAGCTCAAATTTTGCAATACCACTTATGTCGTCTTATTAATATGTATATTATGTAATATTGGGGTATACAGCCATTGTGTGCAATGTGGCAAATCATAGAGCTGGACTGCTTTATGGCAATCTGTAGTCTGTATCAGGAGTTCAACTAATCATTTATTTAATTATCAACTAATCTGCTGGCTATTTTCTCAATTAACCGCTTAGCCTATAAAATATTGAAAATGGAGAAAAAAAAAAAAAACCTTTTACAAATTCTCAATGCCCAGAGAATATATTCGGTTTGCTTCTTTTGTCTGGCCAATAACCAAAAATTACAAGACATTCAATTTACAGTCATATATGGATTTAAAAGAAAAAAAAAAGACAGAAAGAAACGTAAAGCAAAAAAAGACAGAAAGAAAAGCAACAAATCTTCATAAATGATGACACAAGAGAACATTTTCCAATTTTGCTTGCGTGACTGAAACAATTAACTGATTATCAAAATAGCTGCTGATTACTTTGTCAATCAGCTAATCATTCAACCACAAGTTTATTGCAGCTCTAATTTTGTTGCATCAAAGTAAAAAAGAAATTGAGTTTCAGGGATCTAATTCCCAGGATAAGTCAAAACTAGAAATTCCTATAGGGGTATTTTATCAATAATTTTTAAACTGACTTTCCAGAAAATGTACTAGATCACAATACATACACCCAGTTGGTACACCTAACTAAACCTAAATCTGATTGATGCACCGGAGCAATCAGCTGGTTCACCTGGTGTTTCCTTGTTACCTTTAAGGAAAAACACCATGCCACTCTCTTTTACTAAAATAACTTTTAGGTGTGGAGTATGAGTGGATCTCCTGGTTTAATGCAGTCAAACATGACAGCCTTGCAGTAAATCCTCCAGTACAGCAGCACAGACTCCAGCTCCAAAATGATCCTGCAGTTGAATTAAGTTCTGTTTGAGCACAAGCTGAACATTATCACCTTCATGAAAGAGGATTTATTGCAGGACTGTTGGATTAGACTGTATTAGTTTAAGACAAGCGTACTTAATAAACTGCCAACTGAGTCTATGACACTATACACTGCACATACACATAAGAGTATTTTAGACTTGTCACCTACACCTGGCTAGACCAGTGCATGTTTGGTATTTTTGCTTGATAAATTACTGCTGTCAATAAAATTAAAACTAAATTAACCAAAAAGTAAACTAAATTAAAACTAAAATTGTCAATTAAATGTCTGTCCAAAAACGGCTTTTCCCGTTTAAGGGTTGCCACAGAGAATCGTCACGCTGACAACTCGCATGTCGACATTTGGCACGTGTTTTAAGCCAGATGCCGTTCCTGACGCAACCCTGATTCGAACCTGGGCCGCAGCAGCGAAGGCGCTGTGCCTTAACCACTAGCCTACCAGGAACTGCACAGCAAATGACAAATTCTTTCAAACCTGTTCCATATTACATCTCATCACAAGTGCCACTGTCTAGAAAATCCTTTAAAAATGTGTTTTATTGTTCACAGTTCACCTGAGCTCAACTCTGGTGCGGCTGTGAATAACTGAAGTCTTTGTTCACAGTTTAATTAGTCTGAATAGTGGGAAGCTGCAGGATAGACTGTGCAATGAAATTAAGCCGAGAGGAAAGCATTTCTATACACAGGGAGGATTTCTACAAACAATGTTTTATAGGAAGGTTTAGTTGTGAATAAAGGTGTTGCTCCTTCAGTACATTAAACCACATCTTCTATTTCCAGCACTACACTAGAAAATTGTTCAACTGCATTATTCAGCAGTGATAAATTAGGATTTACTGAGTCACTGTAATGTTTCCCCTTTCTGACAGGACAGTCACTTCACCCCTCTACTGATGTAGTCACAGGGGCTGGAGATGAAGACTGACCTTTGCTCCCTGTGCCACTTTAAGGAGCGCATGATTAGAGAAGTGATGCAAACAAAAAAGGAAGTAACTGGCAACTTGTACTGGAATTTGTTTTAGTGCAAACGTACCTGTCTCTGTCGACATCTGTGCATTCATACTCCAGAAAAACTATCTGTCGGGGATAATGACCACACACTTCGCCATTGGGGTTGTGGATGACACTGTACTTGTAATCTCTGGCAAATAACTCCAGACAACGATTCTCGATTGCCTCCACCTGAAGGAAAACAAACATTATATTAGAGGTCTAGATTAAAATAAATAAACTATGAATTTTGTTTCAATATCAGCCTCTAAAAATTCATTCCTATAGTTTGTAGGCCTGCACAATATGAGGAAAATCTGCATAGTGCAATAATATTGTTCAATATTGTGAAAATGATATAAATTGTGATAAATAAATAATTGTGAATTTTTAGCTGTTTATATCTTTGTGCTTTATTTGGTACACTGCTAACATAGAAACCCAACATTAAATAGCCTATGCCCACCGAGTAAGGAAATTAAATACATTTAAATAAAAAAAAAAAAGACATCCACTGGTGCCATTGTAAAAGCTGAATTTTTCAACTGCACCCGGTTTTGTGGATATATTTTCCCTCCTGCTGCTGCACTGTGACCAGAGGATGAGGAGAAAAATACAGGGCCTGAGGTTACTGCATGTCTGGAAATGTTCCTGTACAGGGACTCACTGTTTTATCTGACCGGGTCTAACCTACAAGCAGGTGGGCAGTGAAGCCCCAGTGGAGGTGAATGATCAGCTCATCAATGCTGGAATCACAAACTGTCCTCTCGTTTAAGGAAGAGGCTTTCTGGCTGTCTGATTCTGAAACAATTGCAAATTATTTGGAGCTATGAGGGGTGCCAAGCTAATCTAAGTAGAGGTACTCAAGATTAAACATTAAATGGCTGGAAATGAGCAAAATGAGCAGGCCATGGGCACTTTAAGTAATCAGCCATAACTTAAACTTGGAGAGGCACCATGCATTGAATGTCAGGTTAATCCACAGGACCACAGACGTATGTCTATGCATCATGATGAAAATAGGATTTATCTGTCAGCCCTAATAGTTTGTATCACTAGATATCGATCTTTTATATTGAATTAAAATTGCATAGGGCATCATTCAAGATATCTTACACCTTGATATTGCACAAGTTATCATTCAAGATCACTGTTACCTTTACAACCTATTTATTTTAATTACCAAACTGTTGTCAGTCTATGGTAATAGATCCACTTTGTGCCTCAAAATATAATTAACACACGCTGCATGGGCGGGTCTACGAGTTTGTGACAGATAGTGGCAGACTCCCATAATTATCAGTTAACTGAACTGATTCCCTAGACCCATTCAGTATATTACTACGAATCATCATACATCACAAATCTTAAATCTCGACCTTTATTTCACTGATTAACTTATTTTTACATATATTTCTCACAACAAAGAATGACAGGTTGTCAAGTAGCTAATGCACTCTCAGTGATGACCCCAGTCTTACCCGAGGAGTGACTTCCTTTGCTCTGTATTGCGTCTTGGAAAATAAATCTATCAAATCAGCTATTTCCTCGCTCTTTCTGGCCGACAGCCCGGAGGCCGTGAAGCTGCCGGCCGCGGAGGAGAAGGCGGCCATCATAGCGCCTCGAGCCGCGGCAGTGGCGTCTAGCCGTACTCGGCCTCCTTCAAACACCGCAGAGCCCTGTCCTTCGGAACGGGAAGACCGACCAGGCCATCCCTTCCCAGCCAGCTTCTTCCTGACTGCCCGCTTGAGGGGGCCTGGGCCGGGGAGTCTTCCTGAATTCAGGGCACCGGCGAGTTGTTCCACTCTCCAAACAGAAGTTGTTAGGCAGCCCGCACAGCCAGCCACTCCCTCCTCGGCGGCTGCTGCTACCCGTATTAGCACGACTAGCGAGCAGGCTAGTTCAGATTCCCAGGCGTATGTTGTTGGTTTCCACTAGCTCAATCCCCTCGAATACTCATTAGACACAATTCCAAACATCTGTAGTCCTTCCCCACATCACCATGGTTTTTTTTACGTTTCCGAAACAAGGCAATTTGATACACGGTACACCAGCTAACTGGAGTCCTGTCAGCCGGAGTCAGGAAATCTCCTTCACGGCCTCTTCACGTCTCCATAATGTCACGTTTTCATGTCTCCTTAGTATCCACGTCCATGACAAGTAGATGGATTAAAGTTGTACAGACGCCATTCTCTGGCTACAGGACCTTATGCCTACCTTTGTCACTGTAGTGAAGGACAGCGACTTACTATCTGTGTACTAAAGTCTGAAAGTACTACAGGAGGTAAACAGGAAGCTGACAGAACCACGTGACAGTCATTTCCCCCTTTAAATCACGTCAGCAGTTAACAAGGTCTGTGTGGTTTGTTGCAGGTTTTACTCAGGAAATCATTCAAGCTCTAATTTACCAGGTAACGCGTTATTGATCATTTTAGCATAAGTTCTGTTATATTTTGTATGACATTGAAACTATAATGTAAACATCTGAAAGTAATTTTTGAAAGTATAACTTTAAAGCTGAAAAATAGGATTTAAACGTTTGAAAAAATTGAATGGCTGTTAAAAAAAAATTACAAATCTTTGTTTTAAAGGTTTTGAAACTTGCTTTGCAGATTCCTTTCAGAGATTCAGCTCACATTTTTCAGAGATTAAACACTCACTTTATAGAGTTTTCAATATGTTCTTTCTGGTCACGTTTTATCATGAGTAAACCAGATTCACACTAACATTATTATGTTACTAAGACACCAGTTTTGATTCTTCTGCAGAATATACATGGAGCATGAGGGCCAAGGATTACTTCTGTGGACGGACAGCTGCTCACTTCTCCTGCCTGTGTTGGGGTTTCAAGGCTTAAGGCTGCTTTTTGTGTCTCTAACTTTATGTATGAAGAGGCAGCCAAACTCTGAGTCTGCTTCTTCTGAGGACTAGACCATGGGACGTTTAATGTGTATGGCTGTCACCCATATAAGCTATACATTCCTTAACGACCCCCTCAAGTGAAAAATAAATTTTTTCTTATTTTTATACCCCATAAATATCATCCTTCATTGAAAGAGATTACTTTGTTTAGTTACTGACTTTTACAATGTAACTGCACAATGTGCTTCCTTGTAGTGGAGGAGAAAAGAGTCTGGTGCTTAATTTGATTCCAGTTCACTTAAAAGATTAGTGGAATTTTGACTCACAGGGATATTTACAAAATGCAGAAGGGTGATAAATTGAAGGAAACCCCTATATAAATGAGTGGTCTCTTCCAGGCTGACAGTGTCTCCATTCACAAGGAGTCACTGAATGGTTTGATGACACTGAAAATGATGTGAATCATATACTGTGGTCTTCACAGTCACCAGGTCTCAGCCCAGTTGAACACCTCTGGGAGATTTTGGCCGAAGTGTTAAACAGTGTCTCCACCACCATCATCAAAACACCCTAAGAAGGAATATCTTTTGGAAAAATGATGTTCATCCCTCCAGTAGAGTTCAGAGACTTGATTGACACATACCTTTATACTTATGTTTAAACTCATCAATTCTATTACTATTTTTTATGTCCACACTTAAATTATTCCATAGTTTTACCCCACTTATGGAAATACAGAATCTTTTTTTGGTTGTATGTATAGCATGAATTTTTAAATTTAACTGACCCCTTAAATTGTATCCCCCTTCCCTTTCATTAAATAGTTCTTGAATTCCACCAGGTAATAAATTGTTCCTGGTTTTATACATAAACACAGCAGTCTTGTATCCCACTAAATCAAAAATATATGCTTATTGATTATTTCATTTGTTACCCAGCTGTACATTTCTACATTATAATGCTAATATGATAAATTACACTGTTTCAACTTTTGTATCGCATCACTGAAATTTCACAGATGGAACATACATTTATGTTATATTGGAAAACATATATCTCCATGCCAATTAAAAAAGGATTTAAACAGCATATTGCTGTGAACTGAGCCACTATATATATTTATTACAAATGGGATTTAACTGATCTCTTCCTGTGAATGGAGGAATGAGCAGGCCAATGGGACAAATCTATGGCTCGAGTACTCAAGGTTGTGATTTAGGACACTGTATTACTACTGTAAATTCTTGTCTCTTGTGTTGTTTTCTAGGTCTTCTATGTGTGAAGTAATCACTGAAAAGAAAACAATATCTTGCCATATTTTTTCCACCAGATATTTTTATTGTAGCCTACTGTCTTTTGACCTCCCCTTAGAGAGAATTGGGCAAAAGAGCATTGTCCTTTGTTACTTCTGTCGTTTACATAGGTAAATGAAGTTTTAGCTCAATACTTAAGAGACACTAATGGTTTAAACATCAATAATAATAAGCATATATTATCTTTATCATGAAGATGATATAATTTTATTTTCAGCAGAGCTAATACACTAACTAAATGATTGCACATGTTAGACAAGTCATCATTATCTTATATGTAGGCAATAAACTGCAAAATAAGCCTAACAGCTATCATCTTCTTCATCGAACATTAGGGTTTCAATGGAATGTTTTTACACTTGAGAATTTAGCAGGGAGGCAAAATTGTGGGCAAAGTTTTCAAGGTGTCTATAACTCTTCAGAATCAGAATCAGCTTTATTGTCCAGGTGTGTTGGACACAAGGAATTTGACTCTGGTACAGCAGCTCTCAATGTGCATGTACATATCCCCAGGCAAGGCAACAGCAAGGGGAAAGGAAACAATATACCAACATAAGGCTGTGTAACAAAATAAACAATATAAATAAGCAATAAACAGTGCAAACAATGCAAAATAAACTGTATAAACAGGCAGTAAACAATGCAGACAGACAAAGGAATGTTCATTAGGAAACGAGATAAAAATAAAAATAGAGACCTGTACGAATCTGTATAATCTGTACAATGTATATTTACCGGTATTGGACTGGATGTTATTGTCCAGTCATGCTGTCATGGGTTAAGTGTTAATCAGAGTGACAGCCTGGGGGAAGAAACTGTCCCTGTGCCTGGTTGTCTTGGCGCACAATGACCTGTAATACCATCCAGAGGGGAGGAGTTCAAACAGATTGTGTCCGGGTGTGTTTTATAATGAGAAAAATTCTTTTGTGGTTCTTAGATTGAAGTAATAGACAGTATGGGAGGTGAGTAAGCTACACAATTATGAGGCCACAGTCTGTAACATTAGCATCGGCAGCAGGACAGAGCAGAGTTAACCCAGGACAGTCTCTTCCCATTAGATGTTCCTCTGGTGTTTAAATTTGTGTGTTTACACTGGAGAGAAGCTACAGTACTCCATCCATCCATCCATCCATTTTCTTCCGCTTATCCGGGGCCGGGTCGCGGGGGCAGCAGTCTAAGCAAAGATGCCCAGACCTCCCTCTC